AAATTGTGGAAAAGGCTCTAGAGATGCATCTCCGATTTGCTTTAATCTCCCATCGCCGATCGTGACAAGTGGCTCTGGAGATGAAGAATCCGGCCGAACGAATGTTCATTCACCATAATTCACCCTTAATTCTACCCTCAATCGCCATAATCGTCAGAGCAAAACTCATTTTCTCCATCGCCATTGCTCTCGGCTAAAGAGAGAGATAGTCGGGAGAAAAATGAAAAAAGGAGAGAGAGTTTTTTTGTATTATGTTAAAAATTGTTAACCAATTAAACCGTGACACGTAGTCGGCTCTCTTCACTTCTCAAATCTCTCTTAAGAGAAACGGCTGTTCCCATATTTAAGCTTTTTGATTTATTTTTTGCTATTTTAAATCAGAGAAACCCTCAAGAGAACTTCCATATTCCACCGTTGGAGATGCCCTTAGAAGACCAAATTAGAAAGAAGAAAAAAAAAAATAATGATTGGGACATACTTTCTTTTCTTGTCATCTAGAATTTTATTATTGATCTTCTAACGAAACCAAAATAAGATACAATGTCCAAAAGAGAGAAACAAATGCGGCAGACAACATGAAAGTCTCCGGAGACAAAACCGGCAGAAAACGAGATTTTCCCGGAAGCTAAGCCTTATAGAGGGAATCTCAAAACAGTAGTAGTACAAAGCCAAAGATTTCAAACCACAAACGCAAGAGGTCGAAACCAAAAACTAAGAAAGAAGCATCAGGCTTAAACCTTAATAGAAACGAAAGACCCAAGAACACAAGAACCCAATTCCTCTGAAACATATGCGATTGAGATTTACCAAGAATGCCCGCGGCCAACCCAAAGATAACATCTACCTTTTCCTATCACGATGAGAGCTGATCTCTCGAAAACAAGAACCAATATTTCAAAACCGGCCAAGCGAGACAAATGAGTTAAGAGAACCTCGAGCACACTTCCAAATACGACGACTAACGACTGTTGCGTCCAATAGCGTCTAACTAGAAACCTTCAAAAGGCGATCCTATCAAAACAAATCAGGAAAGAAAGGAAAAGGAGATTGGCCCAACCTCTTGAAAATCACCAATCTCAAGATCAAGAATGACGAAAAATCGAGACAGCTAACAACCACAACGAACAACATCATGGAGAAGAATGAAATGTAAACTTAGAGGTCTAGCGAACCACAAAAAAAAAAAAAAAAAAACTTCTTCTTAGCAAGGAAAGGAACCCAATGTGATTCAATGATATGATTGAGCCGAGGAGACCACGAACGAAAAGAAGAGCAAAGCTTGGACTTAACCTGACTAAAGTCCAATCAACACTCAACGAAAATGGCTTGGAAACAATAAGCACAAAAGCGACTAAGAATTAGGATAAGATCCAACAAAACAATGGCATAATTCTCATAGCAGCACCGTAGATACTACAGATCCAGAACCAAACGTTTCGCTAAACCATAAACCCACAAACAAAGCCGCTTCAACCATATCCGCAAGACCCAAAAACAAACTCGAATCAAACCAGAAGAGTCACCAGACACAGGCCAAAAACAATGCCAACAAAGCTAAAAAAACTAACCTCAGCTTCACGGAAAAGGAACAAGAGCAGGAGGAAAGTATACCCACCAATAGACAAAAAAAAACCCAGGACCACAGATTTGAGAAGAACAAGCCAGACCCTAGCACTCACTGGATCTGACAAAAGCAATTCTTTAATCTTTTGATACCACTGGGGGAGGGAGATCGACGCTCGCAGAAGACGAGGACACCGAGCAAACCACACCATGAAGACCGGACTACAACATTGTAATATTTAGTTTATTCCACGAACAATTGCAACCTTTAGTTTATATTTTTAATTTATTTCACGAACAATTGTAACTTTTAGTTTATTTTATAAATTTCTATAACATTAAATCATCTATCGTCGCGTCTCTCGGTATAACTTTTCATAAATTATTGTTTCTAATTTTTAATTATCAAAATTTATTTAAATGAGATTGTAACCATTTAATGAACAGTTCCAACATTTGGTTTATTTGCCGAATTATTGAAACTTTTGGTTTTGTTTTACGACCCGTTGTAATCTTTAGTTTATTTGACGAACTTAATGAACTGTTGCAACTTTTGGTACATCGCAACGTTTCGTTTATATTTTAAATTAAAGATATATTTTACGGTATGTTTTTTGAGAAAGTTGCAATACGAGTAAATATTTTCTACGGTTGCATCTTTTTATTGTAACTCTTCATAAAACGGTTGCAACCGTTTAGTTAAACCATTGCAACATTTAGTTTATTTCACGAACAATTGCCACTTTAAGTTTATTTTATAAATCGTTATAACATTTAATCATCTATCGTCGTAAAATATATATTGATTTATTATTAAAAAAAATTCAAAGTTGTTACAATTCATTATGATTTTTCGTTTGATATTTTTTAATGATTTTTAAAATAACTTCTCCCGCGACATCGGGATGTTCTGAGTCCTAGTAATAATAATAATAACAAGAGTAATTTTTTTTACTTCAAAAAAACAAAAAGTTGCTTGACATAGTTAGAAGAAAACAATAGACGATTAAATTATTTTTCAAATCAATTAGTTAAATACCATGTTCTAAAAATCTTTGCCTAACTCCAATTGCTCCCCACTTAATTGTTAGGCTCATCCTATCAGCCTCGATTAATGACTAATCCCTTAAAAAAAGCAGACACCCGATTACTATCCGTCTAATCCGATTACTCCTCGCCTAATCCGATTATTTTCCACCTAATCTTGCATAATCAAATTATTTTTAGATTGCAAGTATAAAACAACTTTTCTTTTTGTTATTCAAGAAATTATGTTCAATATTGAGAGTTTGTAAAGCTTTTCAAGAAATTATGTTCAATATTTTAACAAAAATCATAAAATTTTCTTAAAAATACATTTTTATGTGTTTACTACAATTTTAAAAATAATATTATTTAAAATTTAAATTATAATAGATTAATATCTTTTAAACATATTAAACTAACCTTAAAACTAGTCTCCGATTAATCCTCGATTTTAATCCGATTTTTCGATTAATCGTTAAACCCATGCCGAACGCCCGACTAACGCCTAGCGATTTTTTGAACAAGGGATAAATATTAGCTAAAATTCTAGCTGAATAAATTCAGCTATTAAGTGTTTCCAATCAGTCAATCACACTTTAAACTTTCCACTTATTTTTTGTGGTGGAAAAACCTCTAGTTTCATTTTTACTCTTTTTCTATTTATTCCATGATATTTCCTCTTAAATACTCTACTCTTCACAAAGCAGAACCTAAACAACACTTGAAACGAGGGACGGAAGAAATGTCATTTTGAGTTTGATAAGAAATTCAATAACTGTTATTTTCTAAACATTAAAGAACTATTTTTTGATTTAGCACAATATTTTTCTTCATATTAATAATTGTGAATACATATTGACCTAAAAGGTAGAAAAAAATCTCTATTTTTTATATGTCTGCTAAATTATTTAGTTTGTTGTTATACTCCAAATTAACTTCAAAATATTAGTTTTAAATTAATTTAATTTTTGAAAAAAAAAAGTGAGAAATAATATGTAAAAAATATGAATTTACCAACTTTGATTAGCCTTTATTAGAAGTTTAATCACAATTGATAATTATATATTGCAGTCACAGTCCATAAAGCTATTGAGCTTTCCTAAATCTATCGGTTTGATTGGTTTCACTTAACAAGGTCGTTTGCAAACAAGCGTTCAAACGATCACTAATTAGTAGAGCGTTTGAAAAATGCTGTTAGACATTTTAGTTGGAGAAAATGTTAAGAAAAAAATGGATTGAAACTCAATTTTGATGGTCGTAAACATCAATTCCAACCACTATAAAAAAAAACAATGTCTGGTTTTGATACAATGGTCGAACAGTTCTATTTTGTCATTTTGCTATATTAACATTTTATATTATGAATAAAAACCAATCATTATATCAATATTTTACATTATGAATTAAAAATTTCTCTATATTATTTATTCTTTAATTTTTAATAATTTAACATAATTTATACTATTCAACCGCTATAATTCTATCAATCAAACTAAATTCTTAACCGTTTTTTTTTATTTTACTTTTTTTTCTATCTGCTATTTATAACCGCTTTTTAATAACTTTTTAAACGTGATCACCAACCAAATCATATGTGTTACAACAATGACATAAATACCAATTTATCTAAAATTCAATTATAGATCTTTTCTACTCCCTCCGTTTTCGAATAGTTGTCGTTTTAGAGAAATTTTTTTGTTTTTAATTAGTTGTCGTTTTCAGTTTTCGATGCAAAATTTATTACTTTTTTATTTTTTATATTTATTTTTATTATGCAACTTGATTTACTATTGGTTAAATTATGTTTAGGTAGATAATTAATGATATTTTTATATTGAAAAACTAACAACATTAATAGTTTCTTAATTTATGTGCATATAGTTAAAACGACAACTATTCGAAAACGGAGGGAGTAGTTATTAAGAAAAAAACAGTGTACCAAACATCATCTTTCAATAAAAAGACATGACACTTGAATTCCACGTGCTTCACAGCCAAGCATCCTGCAAATACGGATAAGCACAACGTACACTACTAAATTACCATTACGCCAAATTTACATCACTACCCTCTCTTGCACCACCTTTGTATCACTGTTAAAAAGTAAAAACATCTGTGGGTAATTTCGTAACTACGAAACCTCAATAAAAACAATCTACGAGCACCACCAAGATTCTTGAATCATTGTTTCAAAAATTTATTACAAAACCCTTCGGTCATGTACAATTGTACAAAGATAAAGATTCTCGAATTTTCTTTTTCTTGTTTTTTTCTTGTCATAAAGAAAAAGAGAAACAGTTGCAGCAACAAAAAAGACAGTGGATAATCTACAGTGAAGATGTGAAATTGAGAAAAGCTAACCAAAATTAAGAATTTTCAAAAAGGTCCATAAATTAATACATAGTTAAGAAACAACCCCAAGAGTTTTATTTTTATCACTTGTCGTTTCTTTTCTTCACCATCTCCTTATACTTAGTAATGGAATCAATTCTCTGTAACTTCAACTGATGCTTGAATCGGTTGATGAAGTCATCAGCTTTAGCATCTACTTCTTCATCAGCTTCTTCCACCGTCGTAACTCTCGGTGCTTTCACCGTCGCAGGACGACGAGCCTCGACGGAGATTTCATCTTCTTGAAAGTGAGAGAATGGAGATTTGGTACTAGCAGATTTCTTCATCTTCTTTGGAAGCTTCGGAGGTTTAATTCCAGCAGCTGGTTCAGTGTCAGATTTTGTCCTAGCAACATGGTTTAGATTGAGTTTACTATAAACCTCTTCAAGACTCTGTTCTTCTTCTTCTTGTTCTTGTTCTTGTACTTGTACTTGTTCTTCTTCTTGTTTTGACTCTATGGTCACCGACGGTGGTGGAGCTTCGATTATATTGGTGGGTTCTTGTGAAATGAAGTTATAAAGATTGAAAGATTTGATTCTATGAAGAACAGAAGGAGATCTAGACAAGAACGGTTGATTCTGTTCGATTGAAGCTGGTTGGTGAGAGTTGTTGTCTTCGGGTGTTGAAGGAGGAAACTCGAGATGAATTTTGTCTGGAGAAGTGAAAGAAGAGAAGTTTATGGATTTGAGACGATGAATCATGGAAGGAGAGCGTTGGATCTGAGTTTGATTTGAATCATTGGATTTGGAAGAGAAAGAAGAGCTAATGGCGATGGTACCAATCATTAGGTTGAGGAAGACGAAGAGTACTGTCGGTGTGAACCAACTATACATCGCCGTTAGTACAGATTCCGACATGTCTAACATAGATTTGTTTGGTTGTGTTCTTGTTCGGAGAGAAAAGGAGAAGAGGAAGGAGATGGGTGAGTTTGGTATTTTCGGAAAGCAAATAGGAGCACATGTGGGAACTAGGGGTAGTTTTGGTATTTCATGCTTTCACTTATTTTTCAACTTTGTGTTTTTATTTTTTATGAAGAGTGAGATGGTGGAAGACAAACGAAGGAAGTGGAACATGCTTCTAGAATGTCACATCCACTACAATTTTGTTTGGTTTATTTCAATTTTTATGTTCTTGGATTTTTAAGAATTATTTGTTGTTTTTTTTTTATGGTAAAAACATGTTTCGTTTGTGTAAAGACTAAACTGAGAAATAACCATTTCGATGATTAGTTTTTAAACTTGAAGCTTATTATTTGGGAGTTACTATAGTCTATAGAGTGTCTCCTCGGTTCCGGCAATGGTGGAGTTAGGTGTCGAAACGTGTCATTTTATCTTTTATTGTATGGGAGAAGTCCAATTTGAGTGGATTGCTAGCTTTATTACACCAGTTTTGCAAACAAACTAGATAACAACCCGCACGATGTGCGGGATGAAGTGATTCAAGTAAAATTATTATGATTAAAATTATTATCTGGGATCCAAGATCCGTTTGTGTAAAACGAAACATGTTACAATTTTTTTTTTTAATTCAAATTTGGGACTATTTCATATAAGAATATATTTTACCCGTGAAATATTTGAACCTTGAATAAAGCTTCAACGTGATAAAAAAGTATTGACGAAATGTTACCATTTATGGCAATATGTCTTTCCGTATGTTTTAAATATTTCGAGATTTTGTAGTATAAAAAGAATTTTTTTTTTTTAATAAGTATACGAAATCCAAAATTTAGCAAAGATGAGATTTGATAGTTTCCAAGCTAAGATTTTGTAGTGTTCCAAATCTAAGATTCTTAGATTATGAATGGATTATTTACGAAATGGTTATAATGTGGCCCGATTTTTGTTTATATACAAATGAGGTTATAATATTTTTCTTCAAAAAGTTAGAACTCCTCCAAAAAATAGGATTTTAAGTATTCGTAACATATATAGAAAGGAGATTATCTTATTTATTTAAGTAAAAAATTTATGAAAGATGTAAAGATTTTGTAGTTTTGAATTCGAGATTCTTGAACCAAATGTATATATTTTATTATTTAAATATAAACATAAATATAAATATAAATAAAAAGATTGTTTACCCATCCGCTAAAGAAAATTTATAAATATATATATATATATAGTAATATAAGATAAACAAAAAGTGTATGTTTTTAATTATTAATGGGATATATGGATGTATGAGACTAATGGCAAATTCTGTAAATAGTCTAATAAATCTTGGGTAATTATCTAAATAGAAGCCAAATCATTGTGAGAGCGACACATCAGCGTTGCAATCTTGTTAATAACACATGATGGTAAGTTTTTTTTTTAAAAATGTTTCTCTATTAATATATAGGGGATGATCAAGATATGATAAGTATTTTATATATGAAACAATAAATTATCATTTCTAACTTTTGGAGATGAATTTTAGCTAAATAGAAATCGGTGTATCACAATTTGATATGTAGTAACCGGATGACTTAAAAAAAACATCAAAAAAGGATCTTACACTTTAGCGTTAAGAGATTGTTGCTTGCATCAATCTATCAAAAAGTATACGTAACCGAACAAGCGCATAAACAAACGAGCCATCTTGCGCATAGACAATTAGTGATAATTGTATAAGTGTTGCATCTCAGTTTACCCACTTAGCCGTATACAACATTTTTGCATCACTGAATGGACACATAAACAACTTAAGATGGGCGTCTCTTAAAAAAAAAAAAATAGGCGTCTATATAAATTAGTCAAAAGATAATACGTCAATAAGGTCATCCCACAAATTTACAATTTCGCAACTTTGGCTCTCCAATATGAAAACCAAATTGTTCATCTGGATTATGAATATATCATTGAGAAGTTTATAAGCAAAATAAAAGATTACATTGTATACAAAAGTTTTAGTTTTAAAACATTGAGACGTAGCTCGTGAAACAATCTTTCAAAAAGAGAGTAAAACATGAGGATCATATACCCTTATCAGTCATCACTGGCACTTCCCGTTCTCCTAACTCTCAATTAATCTTGAGATATCTTAACCTAAAATGAGATCAACCAAATGAGCCATCTAACATTGTTCAATACTATGCGCGCATGATCAATCATATGTCTAACATTCAGTATATGTCCTTCTCAAAGCTTCAATACGACCTGGTACGGTTACTCTCATAGCCACACAGGGAAATGAGTTTGCAATCTCCTTATGTTAGACTCGTGATCAAAGTAACAATAACACAATAAAATTTCGTTGGTAGAGTACACAAACCTAAACAATATAATCTTCTTTACTCGTTACAATGTGTTTTCATACTCACCCTCGGTGTATAGAACAAGGACAAAAGATCACACGGATCCAATGCAACACACCTCAAGCCATAGAATCCAAACTCCACATTTGGGTCTCTTACACAGTACTCGTTTATAAGTCCAAATGTACAATACAATGTCATTTACGTTAGCATTATAATCATATCATCACATAACTCACAACCATAACTTAGTAGGATTTTTTTTTACCTGGGTCAATTACATTATGTTAAAAATATATACTTTGTAAAACATTAACTAATTTGAGGAATCGAACCAGGATTTGGTGGGTCAGAATTAGCACATGTTACCAAATTAGCCACTGATGCATTACATGCACTCAACAAAGTCTTGAATATATAAATTTAAGGTGTGTCAGTTGACCCACCTTCCTCCAACGTGGGTCCGCCAATGAGGGTACTCATTACCCTATAATATTACTTACTAGTAACGAAATTATAACACATGGGGCATTTATTCCACTAATGTGGTTCTGGTAACATTGTTAAGAAAACCAAAATATTAGAAAAATAAGATTTTGGTGAGAAAGTTCAACAATATATTACAGCATTTTATACAAAGCGAGTATTAGTTATTTTTGAAAGCTTGGTACTTGACCCGTACTTTAAAATATTAAAATTTAGTTAGTTGTTATTTGTTATTTAGGGAATATGCAGGGAATAACCAAATTTTTGAAGAAAATCAAGAGAATGATCATGAGTCACTCTCTCTCTTCCATGGTAATTAGAAGTATCTCTTTTTTCTAAACCACCATCATCACCATATATATACCCTTCATTATTGATCTATTGTCGCCACTTATGTGGTTACCACCACCATGACTTCCTCCACCGCCGGTTCTTCTAAAAACTCCACCGTCGATGATATCAACAACAACACCAACACCAACACCACCATAACCATTGTCTTTAATTTTTACTCCTCATCTCTTCTCACTATCTAATTGAATTTCATGCCATCAATCTCTCTCTCGAGATAAATTTATACCGCCTTTCTATTTGTAGATTTCTAGGTTCTTACTGCCTCCAATAGCCAAAGATCTTCATTTTTATCTAGTTGGATTTCAATCTTTTTTGGACTCTCCGTCGTTATTTGCTTTTGTTACACGAAGATTTCTTGTATTACAAGTTATTTATATCACATGTGTGTTTTTCAAAAAACATTATTTTAATGTTAAAAATACATTGTTTTTCTAATGGCACACCTTTCTTTCAATATAACATGATATTTTTATTAAAAGACATATTTTTACAAATAACAATATGATGTTGCATCTTTGCAAATGTACGTTATAAAATACAATATTTTATTAATAAATGTCATGCTATTATAACATGTTTCACATGATTTATTAAAATACCTCTGATCTATTATTTGTTTTCTATAAAAGCTTATTCTTGGTTTAACTTTTAGGGACATTTTTGTCTTTTATGGTGCCATCACAATGGTTAGTTACTTAATTTTGACTCAAAATTTGGTTATCTTGATATATTACTATTTTTTTAAAATCGAATATGAGATAAGTAATGGGTATGGAACAAGTAATGGGTATTTATGCTCAGTTTAGTTTGAAATGTTATTTCGAGCACCTAAAAAAATGACAAGGGAAAATATATGAAAATGAAAAATAAAAAGTCACGCCAATGTTAAAAAGAGAATAAAAGGTTATTTTTTTAGTAAATACTTAGCCTATCTTTATTCCAATTTTATCCATACGCGTCAGAGCAATCTGATCCAAAAAATAGACCATTACATGAGACGATGTAGAGAATTTATGTCATTTTCGAAGTATTAAAGCGTGTATGTCTCGTCTGACTCTTGGTTACCATTATACATTTATTATTTATATACATGTTCATTCATTAGGTGTGATATCTATATTTATAAATACATGTGTACTGGTTTATGTACAACTACATATACAATGAGTCAGTCAACTATGGCAATCCAAGGTTTTATACATACTCTTGTACTTTTTTTCGTGGATATTGTCCCGGCCGTGCTTTCAGCAGTTGGTGATGGAACCAACCCAAAATCTGGCGATGAATATGTCTTTCCTATAAATTATTTGAAATTAGACAAAGTATGAGACCTAGATTGATATGATGAGACATATTATACATTCATGTATTTATATACATGTTCATTCATTAACCATAGATATCTATATTTATAAATGCACATATACTTGCTTATGTACTTCTACATATACAATGTGTTTTACTCATGTTGTTAACTATGTAGACGCATATATTAATTAAAAATATGGATGTCTAAGTACATCTTATGTTGGACATGCACAACTGGAAGTTCGGTGGTGGGCCATGTAAAGATCATTTATTAGTTCAACTGGTTGGCATTTATGAATTGTCAGAATGTTCTTTCGGTTACTCGTAAGGCCGTGTTGGTACCGTTCACGCGCATGCATTTTACGAGCTCTTGTTTTTCTGTAATAAGTATGTAAACTAGGTCCATTTTCACCAATTATTATTCTCTCGTCAGGAACATCCAACAATAATGTCGAATTTCTAATTTATGTTCCCATTTTTTCTTCTGCACT